TTTTTTTTTTCCTCTTTCACACACTATTTACTTCTCTTCTAAGCTAGTTAACTCACAAATAGCAATATGTGCCAGGACCAAAAGATGAACCTTGGTTTCTTTTGCACATTCTCTTGATATTTTGAAATCTATATCAAACATGTTTTTTTTCCATTGGTTGTCTTTGCATTCCCACCAAGTTTTTAGCATTCATTCAGAATCCAAGAATATAGTTCATGATTTTTTTAAAAACTGACCAGTTTTTTGTTTGTTTTATAAAAGTGCTTTTAAAACAGGCTAAATGATTGGAATAATTTATTATTTAAATTACTTTAAAGGCAGATAAAAAATGTTCATATTATATCTAAGTGAATCAATTTTAGTGCACAAAAGTAAAATAGACACTTTGGGAAGCTATATTAACCCATTTAACGTGAATAGAGTATAGAAATTTTCAGTAAAGTGTACCCCAGAGGCCTGAGACATATGCATTCACCTCAAATTAATGCTTTCACTGAACAGATGAAATAAACAGATAAAACACTAGGAACTCCAGGACCCCAAAGTATTTGTGCATACATGGAGATAAATACACGGAGTTAAAAACATAGAGTCAAATAAAGATTTGTAACAAGTTATAACTCTCTAGAGACTTATTCCTGAAATCAAAGGATAAACTTTAGTTCTTTCAATATCCTTGGCTATCTTTTTTGGAGCAAACTCCTACACCCACTGGTATATTCATTCCACCTTCAGAAAATGTTAACCTGAACCACTTATGAACTACATGCTACATTAATAAGACACAGTCCCTAGGTTAACATTTTGCAAATTTAATCCAGGCTTCACATGCTAAGCTCTAAATTTTCTGATTTCATTCTGTCAAGAGACAAATCCATGCTGACAACATGTGTGTTATGAAACACAGTAATACCTTTAATCTTAAAATATCATGGACTTAAATATCTTCCTATTTACAGCTGCTATGAACTTGGTGAAAAGAATCCAAATGCACAAAATGACACACAGCCAACATAGATGTCAGCTTCGAGACACTTTGAAAGAATGTGGGTGACTACTCTCCTCTACATCTGTAAGAACAAGAAGGACCCCTGCTATCAGCTCCACCAAGACCTTCTTTGTTAGGGTTTATACTGCTTTGCTGCCAATCTCAACTGATGAATTCAGGGTGGTATTTTCTGACACTGTCCCACAGGAATGACTTGGATTCCAGAGCCCCCTTCATTTTTGCTGAAGGAAAGGAGGCATGCAAACCAGATTCACATTTGTTTCTATATACTTTAGCAATCATTAAACAAGTGTATACTATAATCCCACAGGAAACGGGAAGGTATGTTTGGGGAAGGTTAGCAGAAGTTGTGTCCCACATCAAAGGAAAGCCGTCTTAGTTCATGCTGCTCCCATCTGGACCACCCCCACACACTTGGTTAAAATAGGACCATCATGAATGAACGTGCCTCTTCTCGCCTTTGAATGGCCTCGTTTCAGAAAATTGGTGAGGATGAAAGGAACAAGACATTGATTTTCAGTTATCTTCAGAATCTACCCATTGGCCTTCATGGAATGCT